CCCCCCCCCCCCAGGGAGTGTTTTCTCACTTTCTCTGTTTCTAGAAAGTGCACATGCCCTATAGCTACATTAAAAAAAAATAAAAAAAAAAAAAGAAAAGAAAAATAAAAAACCAGAAAAATCTTTAAGTTTTAATTCGCTTGATTCCCTAACAGTCTTATGCAAACATAGAAGACTTTCGGTTTTGTGTTGTGTGGTCAGATTCAATCCCAGAAGGAAACAAAATTGATAGTTGACAACTTAGTTTTATTAGTGAAAATAGTAACCTTGATAGATAAGTACATTTTTTGGCCAAGAACTTAATGTACATTAAATTATTAACTCAGTGATTTCCATATTTGTTATTTACTGTTGTGACATAACTGTAGAATCCAAAGGGGGGTAAGGTAAAAAGTAACCAATGAATTACACACTACAATTTAACCTTGAACATATAGCTCCCATTTAAAATTAATGTGCCAAAGTTTAGTTCCTTGGTCAACCATAGATCAATCCAAAATTGTATGACACCATGTCTCAGGAGCAAAATTTAACCCTCTGACTTTTATCATGATTTCTGCTTGGTGACATTTCAGAAGATCATATTTAGAGCAAATTTTTACTGGTATGTTGAAGTTTTGTTTTTGTTTTTTAATGAGCTACCTAGATGGTAGGTATCATGTGTATCTTCTATATTATATATTGTATATCATGCTTTCAGAAAAAGGAAATACAGGTAGTATTACTAATACTTAAGAAAAGGAACTTTCAGACATCAATATTAAGTATTTTTGCTTGTTCTTAAATTGATTTGAGAGCTTGTATAGAAGCACTTCTTTTCAACATTGTTCTGAAAGTCTTAGCCAATGTGGTCAGGAAAGCAAAATAAAAGCATTCAGATGGGAAAAGAAGAAACCAAACTGTTCCTATTTGCAGATAATGTCCTTATATACATGAACAATCCAAGGGAATCCAGAGGAAAACTCCTAGAAGTGATCAGTGAATTCAGTAAAGTAGTAGGAGACAGAATCAATATGCAAAAATCAATAGCATTTTTATACACCAACAGTGAACAGACTGACACAGAATTGAAGTAATACCATTCACAATATCCACAAAATGAGTAAGATAGCTAGATAACCAATAAGATAGCTAGATGAAACAGTGCTATGAAAAAAACTGAAAAAAGAAATTGTTATACAAAAAAATGAGAAGATTTCCCGTTATTGGATTGAAACAACATAATATAATCAAATGTCAGTTCTGGGGGCCAGCAGGTGGTGAGGTAGTTAAGGTGCTAGATTCCCACATGACCAACTGTGGTTCAAGTTCTGGACTTGGCAGCTTGCTTTCTCACTTCCCCCTACCCCTCTTTGGTGAGGACACATGCCCTATAGCAAATTAAAAAATAATAAATTAAAAACAAAAAAAATTAGTTCTACCCAATTTAATGTACATATTCAGTGCAATTCCAATCAGATTACCGATGACATTCTTCAAGAAATAGAAAAAACAATCATAAAATATGTCTGGAATCATAAACAACTCTGTATCACCAAGGCAATACTATGCAAAAAGAATAAAATAAAGTAGGCGGTATCTTACTGACTTCAAAATACATGACAAAGTGATAATAGTCAAAATGGCTTGGTACTGGCACAAAAAGAGACACATAGATCAATGGAATAAAACAGAATCTAGAAATAAAACTCAAATCATACAGACAACTGATCTTTGACAAAGGATACAAGATAATGCATTAGAGAAAAGAGAGTCTTCAGTAAATAGTGCTGGAAAAACTGGCTACCTACAGAAAAATGAAAACTGGACCCCTATCTCCCATCATTAATAAGAATCAACTCAAAATGGATCAAGGATTTACATGTGAAATGTCAAACTATGAAACTGCTGGTAGAAAACTGAGGGGAAGCTCTTGAAGACATTGGAGTAGACAATGATTTCTTAAATAAGAGCCCTAAAGCATAGGCAATAATCCTGAAAATAGACAAGAGGGATTACATCAAGCTAAAAAGCTTTCTCACAGCAAAGAAACTATTAGATTGAAGAGACAATCCTTAGAATGGGAGAAAATATTCGCGAATTATGCCTCAGACAAGGGATTGATAATCAGAATATATAGGGAACTCATGCAGCTCACCCATTAAAAAAATGAATTAGTTCTATTTTAAAAAATGGGCAAATGAGCTGAATAGACAACTCTCCAAGGAAAACATACAAATGGTCAAAAGGCATTTGAAAAAAAAAATGTTCAGCATCTCTTATCATAAGGGAAATGCAGATTAAAACCACAATGAGATACCATTTAACCCCAGTTAGAATGACTAGGATAAAAAAATACAGGACTAGTGCTGATGAGGCTGTGGTGAAAAATAAACCCTCACACACTGTTGGTGGGAGTGTAGTACAACCATGCTGTGTGAATGGTAAAATAAAAGTGTAGAAGTGAATCCTAAACCTAATGAAGTATTGTATAACTTTGATAGCAAGCTCTCACCTTTTCGAAGTGTATCCAAAATAGTTTATGTATACTCTCAAAGGAATTAATATGTAAACTACCTTGCTCACCTACATTTTCTTTTTTATATTAATTAATTAATTTTTTACAGTCATTCACTGTACATCAATACAGTATACAAAATGAAATTTTCTATCCAGTATACATTGTATATTAGCTTAATCAAGGATATTACCATACATGCTATCATCAACAAATAATTTTCTATTTCTTGTTTCTTACATATTTTGCTTCCCCCTCTTGATTCCCTACCTCTCACACACTGCCAACTCCCCCCTTCTCCCACACTGTCTCTGGTATGTAGTGTTGTTTTCAATGCCTTTTTTTTTCCCCCCCACATTTTATTTATTCACTAAAGATCTTAATTTAAAGACTGAATAACAAGCACAGCTGATATATACATATTTATAAATGCATGTCTGACTTTAGGCATAAACCTCAGTGAGTAAAGTGAACATACTATTAAAGTAGCACCTTGCCGGAGCTGTATAGCTAACTGCAGTCATTACGTAGGTGTTAATATGTATTTTTTAAATGCATTTTTTAATTAAAAGTTTTAGTTTTAATAAATCAAAATAAAAAATGTTAAGAGAAATTTGCTTACAATTTAAAGCTAGGAAAAAGGTTAGGATTCAATTCAAATGGTAGGTAGATAAACC